AGGAAACAATTACAATAATTTTGTCAAACAAATGTGCATTAAATTGTTGTTCATTTATTCAGTGTATAAATGTATACATTCGCTATTGAACAGGTTGAATCTGAAACATTAATAGATTCAAGCTGTATATTAAAGGCAACAGTAGTATACCGCTGTTCAATAGTCATAATTCGATTTAGCAAAAAACAAATCCGAGTAACAAACTAAAACCGAGGGAAACACATCATATTAAGCATATATGGTGGTGGGACCAAAAACGGCCCTCATCGCCCCTTGTCAAGGTTATTTCGTTTAAAATGCAACATTCATAAGCTAAATTATTGGACTTATATCGTCTAATTTTAGTTTTGAAGTGGACGATTTAAAAATCAAAAGTCCTGTTTTCCTTCGGGATACAAAAATATTATACGGAAATCTAATAAATTAATATAATACGGTTTTGTATACAGTCAATATAATTAAATCAGTAATTGAAATTGCGAAAATAGCATTTTGCAGTAGCAAAGGATTTGAGCGCTTTAATCAGACACAAACCCTAAAAAAAAAAATCCTAAGATATTTAGAAATTAAAATTGCGTTTACGGTTTCTTTTTATTTCCAAAGATTCCTATGTTATGAACAAGGAATTCGAGGGGAAAGTAACAGTTGTGCAGTGTAACATTAGGTAATGGCCCTTCATTGTTTTGATTATTCCTCTCGCTGTCAGCATAAGTTATTTTTCAGTTCCAAATTGACATTTATTACATTCAAGTCGGTTTTTTTTAATGTCAAGTTAAAATTTCTGATTGACATTTAGAAGTCAGAAATGTAAAGCTGGATGTGAGAAATATCAACTTGTAAATGAAAAAGTCAACTTAAAACTGAGACAATGACCAACTTGGACGTAACATAGATAGCAGGAAAAGCTTACCCTGTAAACGCACCCTGTCTCGGTATATTTGGGGTTCATGCAATTCACTCAGTTGTTGTTTGTCACTTTGATGTGTCTTTTTCTAATCGAGTTGCAAGATTTGAGCAAACGACCATGTAAGCTATTGTCGCCTTTATAAATGCCAACTTGGAACTGAGAAATGTTACATATGTTATTTCGGAATCTTTTATAGCTGATTACGGTGTGGGTTTTGCTTATTGTTGAAGACAACACAATGACTTATAGTTGTAAACTTCGATGGCATTTGATATGTGGTAGAGAGTTGTCTCATTCGCATTCATATCACATCTTCTTATTCTTAAAAGATGAAATAAGAAATTACAAAACAGAATGTATCTACCGGTCCTTTGTACAATATGCATCCTTATAGTGATGTACCTGTGTTTATTTTTTTAAATATTATGTAAGGACATAGATGCAGAAATTATATAATAAATGCGTTTGACTTCTTTAAAAACCATAAAGGGGAAATAACCTTCATCAATATACAACACAACTTATCATTTTAAGAAGGTAACAAAGATTTTTGACAAACAAGTGATGTGCAACAACACAACTCTGTCATATAAAGGATGTTTTAAGAGTGAATGATATGAATTATTTATTACGAAATCCGGTTCACAAGTGTATATATAAACATTTAAATAATTCAGACAAAGACACATCTATTTATTCAATAACCTAAGGTAAGATAACTGTTTTGCTTCAGTATATAATATAGAATTTTGTTTCCATGTTTAATAAGATATAATAGAATGTGTTGTATCTAACTGTTAAAATATTTTTATAATTTGATAAATTGTTGTTACTTACATTTTCAATTTGTCCTTACTAAAGTACATCTTTACTATCTGTCAACCTTTTCTAAGTCAATGCTTAAAACAAAAACCAGTAACCCTTATTTTTTTCAATGTGTAAACAATATCCGCACATCAAGATTCGACATTTGAATTTTTTTTATGCCATGTAAATAAAAACATTAACACTTTTAGGGTGTTGTTGGTTCTTGACTCACTGTTTGAATATTTTCACCTTACGTTGTGTTTTTTTTTTTAATTTTTTTTTATATTCATCGATTTACGAGATTTGAGCATCGTTAAACAACTGTCGACTTATTTGTTGCCTATTGTTACGGTGTGAGAATTATATTTCTTTATTGCGATTCAATTGAGTATGTTGCAACAAAAATGAGATGTTCTTTCTCAAGATTAAATCCACATGGTTCTTCCAAAGTTTTCAGCCTTTTGTTGTTGTTCTGCCAATCAATGTCATATATGATGTACTCTTTTGTGTTAAGTTTAAAGTCCTTATTGTTCTGTCAAAGATTATCGAGCCAATAATTAGTCAGTATAAATCGATCAGCTATAGGTCATTTGCATGTCTATCAGATGTAAGGTACTGTAATTTCGACCAGTCTTTGGTCTAATATATGTTAGAATACATTAGGTATATACCATGTATACCTAACCGACAAGAAAGTGTTTCCAAATAAAACAAATTCGTTACATCCTATGGTGACCCTCAGTGAATAGTTAAACTTCTAATCCTTATGCTTTTGTACACATTACACTTGATTGATTTGGTTTCCCTTGAAACATTTTATAAAATATGTTCTTTAATCTATATTTATCAGATTATTGTTTTTTACTTAATAAATAGTTGTAGTTAATGAGCTATTAATTATGTCGTGTAATTCTTTGTCCTAGATACTTATGTAGATGGTTTTTCGTCCGTTGAACAACAACCCACTGAATATAGAGTACGTATTTTTGTGTTTCTGTGTTGAAGATATATTTCCGAACGAGTAATCGAGTATCGCTTGATAAAACCAACGAGAACTCGACTAGTAATTGTTCACCGAGTTGACATCCCTAGTTTATATGGATTAGTTCTGGGTCATGGTTATTTTTATCTATCTCAGGACCTGTCATTGCTCAATATTATTTCGACCAGTCGTAGGTCATTGTCTTTTTACCTTGTCACCTTACAAATTATGGAACGTTCTCATTCCGACTAGTTGTAGATATTTTTTTAGTCGCCTAACAAATCATGGGTAATTATCATTTCGACTTATCATGGGGAGGACTTACATAGGATTGGCCTATTGCTCAATCCAATTCAATTCGCGTGAATACAATACTGTTTCAACTTATTATTCAAATAACGGCATTGTCTTTTACAGGAACTCATACGTCGTCATCAACTTGACCAGTGTAAGATCATAATTTTATATATGTTATATTTTAAGTCAATAGTCATATTGGTTGATATCAAATGTGTAAAGTATTTGTTTATAACATAACAAATCTCAATTGTTTATCTGTACGATTCATCATTTTAATCAGTCACACTCAATATCTCTCAAATCTGATGTTACTTTCAACATGATGTGATTTTCATCGTAACTGCATATCTTAGATCATGTATAGTTCCATCTCTTCCTCTTTTATTAAGAATGTGCAATGGTGTCAAAAAGATGCGTAAATTCATGTTGTTAATGCTATAATGAACTAGTTGCCCCTATCACCACACATGTACTCATTACCTACTAAAATCTAAATTGGTTTTTTTAGGCGCTTCAAGTTATGCCACAATTATCTGGGTATTGCTGTTTTGCTTTCACCAATTTGAGCCAACGAGGCAAAGTGTGCAGCTCAGATATTATGGAGTTGTTTTCTCCAAAAAGACATATTTCATTTTTGATATCCTTAATAGTCTGTTGTTGCTCACAAGGAAGCTATTAAACCAAGAATTCTAAGTCGTAATGTTGAAATCATCCCTTCAAAAATTTTACGGAAGCCATCACGATTTGGTTGACCGTTATGGAATATTTGTTCTACATATGACGACGAATATGTTCTGTTGTCCCGAATGTGACTTATCGGATTAGAATTATCATGGGTTCCTACTTACATGAGCAACACGAAGGTGCCACTAGTGGAGCCGGATCTGCTTATCATTTCGGAGCACTTAAGATCATCCCCGGTTTTTGGTAGGGTTCGTGATACTCAGTCCTTTGTTTTTCTATGTTGTGTTTTGTGTAGTGTTGTTGGTGGTCTATTTTCGTTAATTGCCATGGCATTGCCAGTTTTTTTCCAACATGTGTGCTTGCATGTTGCTTTGATATCTTTCGCCTCTCTTTTGCACAAAAATTCTGATAACACATTTCATGTTCCAAATCTAAGGAAATCAGAAGATGAACAACACATCTTAGGTGATATTGTTCATCATCACTTTTATATTTTCAAACATGCGATATCCCATTATCTGTAGTGCGGGCACATTTATCATCCAATGTAAATAAAACTGTTGATACCATTCACCAACTTGTTCCAATAAGAAAATGTACATATTGAATGAAAGATACAAAGCTACAGATGTTATTTTTTTTAATTTCAAAAATCATCTTTGGAACTGCCACAGTTAAAGATATCAATCGCCTTGCACTCCATATAAATATTTTTTTCTAGAAACAGTTATCAATCAGCCTAAACAATGGCTGATCATGATACAATGCTTTCATCCTATATGTCTATGGTATATCTACGGTTTGCAATCTTGTTTTTGAAATAAAAACACAATCTCGGGGGGAAGGATATATGTTATAGGATGACAGTTTACATACCTGTTTGTTTAACATGCCATTTACAAATAAATTGATGGGCAAATGATAAATCTAATAATTTAATGACAAATTGATTAAAGAAATAAATATCTCGATTTAAAAAAAAAAAAACAGATTTTTGTATGCAAAGCTTTTTGTGTTGTAAATAACTATTAAGTTTTTTCAAAGGCGGAAATCTGTTCTAGAATAAAAGTTTTGATAAATAATAGATGGTCACAGCTGAGCATAGTTCTTAAGCTTTTCTTACGTAACAATGATAAACCCTCAGTCATTTCAATAAACGCTTATACAAAATTAACATCATGCGACAGATTTGTGTGATCTCAAATGAGGACTGTAAAGGTGTCTCACTTATTACGGTCTTTGTCAAATCAAGTAATAAACCTGTACCGTACCTCACCGGGAAATAAAGTCACATGACTTTGGTATGTTTTGTGGCATTTGTAGTCACTTGCAAAGTATTTTTCAGTTAACAAACTTCATTATTGTTATCGCCTGTCTATTTCCAGGTAGGTACACACATTTTGATAATTAATTAAAGCGGCGTTTAATACGAGAAAGACAACAGATTAAAACATGATGTTTTTTCTTCAAATATTCATTAAGCGGAATATAGAAATTATATTCCGCTATTTGCAATAAATTTGGTTCAATTTCGTCTAAATAAGCTTAGAAAATATCGATGATATATTATTGTTTACGTTTATTTTTGTTGCAGTTCAGTGTTTCTGTTGTTCCGTTGTGTTCCTCTTCTAGTTGATGTGTTTCCCTCGGTTTTGGTTGTGACTCGGATTTGTTTTCGCTTAATCGATATATGACTATTGAACAGCGGTATACTACTGTTGCCTTTATTGCCGTACAAGTCAACAATTCAACTCATTTAAATCCGTATTTATGGAACCTTTTGATTTGACATTTAGTGCAAATGATGCACATGTGTCCATTATGTGGTTTATTCATTAAAAAGAAAAACATATCAACTTTGAAAAGTAGAATAAGGGAGCCATTGCGAATAAACACTTTTTTGACTGATCCTGCCTACAAAAATATCATTCTTATACATGCAATCTCTATCTCGATTGATAATAAGGTGGCGTGAGTTCAAAAATACGTACGAAATGATGATACATTGTTCCTTTTGGACTTTTTGCAATTAAGATATACGTTATTGTATTTTATGAATACAATTTTAAAATTTGGGTCATATCGGTGGACAGGAATTTGACAGTTGATGCCCATTTAATATTTCAAGTACATGTATAAAGTTGATTTATATTACATTCAGTGAAATTTAATATCGTAAATCATTCAGAAACTGATTATCTCTAAATCTAATAGAGTCAATTAATTGTCTAAGCTTCTTAAATACTAAATGTAGCGCGTGATTGTTACATTTTCAAAGCATTATTAAGGGTTCAAATAATCAAAAGAATCTGCAAGTAACAAAGTATATTTCTCTTCTGTCTTATCAATCAAAGTTTGTATTTTAAATGGTAAGGATGTTTGCTACTCTTGTTTTTGACTTTTTGTCAGAAATTCAGATATTCTAGTTTTATCCATGTAGTGCCAATAATAATTTTGCCCGTTAAACCCTACTTTTCTTTTCATAATTTCATTAAATAAAGTTTAGAAAGCCATTTTCTTAAATCTTATAAAATCCTTGTTATTTTTTCATAGTTTTTGAAAGAATAAAGTTGCAAATGCTAACTCTATGAAAGATCTAGAGAGAATCATTTCCCGCCAAATTTTCTACGGCTTACATCTCAAAAACAAGGACACGGACCTATCATTTTTTTCTGCTTTTTAAGTTCTGCTATTTATATTCTATTGTGGCTGGCTATTTGTGATTTCATTTATATGTTCAACACCTGAAAAGCAATATGAGTAATATTTCGTCTCAGCACAAATTTTTATTTTGAGTGATCAAAGTTCAGAAATATTTTCTGCAGAATCGATAGGCATGGTAATTAAAAACCAAAATTCACCAAGAAAAAGAAACGGGACATATATATTTAATGTGGTTTTTGCTTAACACGATACATTTTTCAGTAATTTAAATGTATCATTGTTAAAAATTGTGTTGATTATTGTATTCATATTGCATCTTAGTGTTTATTGTATTTCTATTAAATTATATTGTGTATTGTATTGTATTTTAAGCACTTGCAGAGTGACCGTTCATTCAATATAAACTAGACTTGTCCTGTCGTCTGTCTTCTTCCAGTCAATCAGTCATTGTTTTCAGTATTCCAATTCACATCAGTCAAATATCATTAGTACATTTTTGTATCACATTAAATTAGTTATGGTAGAAGGTCAATAATTCACCATAATTCACCCAACAAAATATTGACGCCATGCACAAAGCTGACAAATGTGTTTTTTTACTACTTTCTTAGGAAAATCATATGAAACTTCAAATTTAAAAAATAAATATGTTTTATATACTTGAATAGCTAAGTTTTACTTTGTAACAAGTGTACTTTCTTTTAGACAAACACCCTTTATATTCTTAAAATTTTCTTAACTGTACTGCTATTTAATTATTGTCTTCCCGTACACTTATTATCCGATATGTTCACGTATGCAGTGACCTTAACTACGAGACGTCTCGTTAGAACTTCGGCCACCATACAGCGCAAATGCGAGGGGAAAACCGTGATGAAAGAATGTCAACATTTGTACACTGGAAGGTAAATAGTAATAACTGATTCTTAAAGAGCACATGTAATACAACAAATCATTTAACAGCTGTTAAAGAAAACTTAAATTAACAAAAGGTAACGCATGGAAAATGTAAATATCATGGCTCTGTTCATTCACTTATTTATTTGTTACGTGCTCCATATGCACTGCGTTGACTGTGTATCAATGTCGCGATCCGGTAATCATTGGTAAGAAACTCGAAATTTACTTAGCTGCCGATTAACAATCACTGAATGATATATCATTTGTGAATAATATGTTTCGTAATAATATAAAAAACGTGCATAAAGGACTTGGTTTAGTATATATGAATGCATTGATTCAATAATTTCGATAACATTAAAATTACAGGAAACTCAATTCATTATGACTTTAACTGCTAAAAAACACAAAAAAAAAAAATACATTCCTGAATTCAAATATAAGTATAACGACTATGTCACTATTTTTTAACTATTGTTAATAATCTAAAATTACAAAGAACAATAACTATTATTTTTACTGTTTAATAGCTATTTAGATGTTTTACCCAAAATACAACTGATATTTAAAATCTGATATATGAAGTATTGATGCTTTCTACCTAAACATGCTAAAATACTAAACTTATTAGAAGAGCGTTAGAAACAGAGAGAAAAGTGAGGCTTGCCGAGCTTTTCTGCTATCACGTAGCAAGTACCTTTAAATTTTGTATTTCCTTCAATGTGCGAATATTGTTTCATTCGGCAATTTAACATTAGGCGTAAACGTTTAGTTTTCTCCCATCAAATTCGTTGGCTAATGAGATCGACATGACTTCAACGCGGACCGCAATGAGGACTCAAAATTGGACTGTCACGCAAACGGTAATTTGTACATAACCGTTCGTTCGCAACAGAAGCAGGATACCAGGCGACTACAAACGTCTAGTGTACGTTTTTCGGTTCATGTTATCTGCTACTCGGTATATGTATAGTAGAAAGGTCAATAGCAGGATGAAAACATTTTGTATGTCTTCCTTCAGGATAACCATGAAGACAACCATAGTGAGTTTGTTTTGTCTGATGTTGATGAACTTCATTTCTGAGGCATATGGATGTAGATGTAGTAACTTTACACAAATAAATTCATTCTGTAACGCTGATTTCGGTAAGTTTAAAGAATTAAATGTTATGAATTTATGTATCTTGTGACTCTGAAAAAAGTATTAGTGACTATTTTCCCAGGAATCTGACATTGTATTGTCCCTGAGCATATACATGTACATTATACTCATCAGCTGCATTCGAATCGAAACAGTGATTAAGCCAAACCAAATACAATAACCATTAAAAAACGCAAAATTGAAAAAAAAAATGTGCCAAATACGAGTTGGACACCCTAAACCCGGTGTTACAAAAACCTTGATGCTTAGAATAATTCAAAAATTTATAAAACATTCAATTAAAAAAAAAATGAACATATCAGTGATATTTGGTGTGTCAAAGTATAGATGGAACTAACTACTGGAATGGTAATACCCTGGGGATGAAACGTCACCCATAAGTTACACAATTATACAATTGAAAAATAAGCAGTAATATCACATGTTTTACGGGGAGTATCATTGGCATTGTCAGATTCTTGTTTGTTTGAATTTATTACACTTTTATTTTGTGTCTGCCTACTGGAAACCTTTAGAACAAAATCATTTTTTTTTTGCTAATTAAGTTATACGAGGAATTGCCCAAAACAACAGGACCCTTGCAAGCGGTGATATTGAGTATGATGTGAATGTGGAAGATAATTTTAAGGTATTATACAATTATGCAGTAAGTAGTTAGAGTTGCTCATCTTTAATTGGCGTAGAGTGACCTGGTCTCTAGTGAACAATTGTCGTTTAACAGTTTTATGAATCATAACGCATCTTCTTTTTTATAATTAGTAGAAAATGTCTGTGGGGTCGCGAGTTCAAAGCGGAATGAACATTTATATGGGAATATTCCGAATTAAATCATTCACCTCTGCAATTTAAACTTGGTCGTCAGAGACCCATAAATGAAGACAATGTTTCTAAAAGCTGATGCCACAGAGATTCGACACATTATATGATAGAGAAAGCAAGGTGAAAAATACCAAAAAGACATTCAAGTCGAACATGAACTGACAACGTCATGGCAATAACACAACAAGGCCAAAAGACAAACAACAGCACACAAAATACAACAAAGAAAACTAAAGACTGAGTAACAAGACTATGAAGTTTATAACACAATAACTTCAGACCAGTGCCTTATAATATAGTCATGATAGTAGGTGATTATTTTATTTCACTTCCATTGCACAGACATTAAGTAAATATAGTTGGATGATAAGCATTACTTTTACTTCACTGCACTCACTTCATACTAACAACTGATGCAATTTGCTAAAATATTTTACCAGTTGATCATGTTTGTTGAGATGAATTCAAACTGCAATTTGGTAAACTGTTTGATCAATTGGTATTGTGATAGGCCAAAGCCTTCAGGATAAGCACAGTAAAGTAAAGCCAAACGTCTTAAGTGCACGGATCCAACGGACTGCACCATACTATGGAAGTTGCATTTGCATAAACAAAACCATAAAAAGCAAATGAGACACACAACAGCAAAACCCCAAAATATTGGATTTACACCCATTTCGTTAAAACTGAGATAGAAGGTTCAAAATCATTTTTGAGATATACATCAATAAAATATGGTATTTGTTAGCAGGTCGATTTGTGATTGGTAGTAATAAAACGATATTTGTTTAATTTCATTATTCGTAATTTGTTCTTTTTTCCATAAATACAGATGATAGTGAATAATACAATAAAACTTCGTTCTCGGTCTCCGAATAATTCATGTGGAGTACATCTAGACACAGGAACTGAATATTTAATTGCAGGTGAGTATTTCTATTTCTTCTTTATAAAGTTTCACTGTTTAATGCATTTTTAACATTCAGAGAAAAAAAAAGAGTTTTTTTTTATGACTGTTGGTATTGGGAAGCTGAAATCATCACTTCGTAAATTTTACGGACGCCATCACGAGTTGGTTGACCATTATGGAATGTCTGTTATATGGATGATATCAGATATGTTCCTTATGTCGTAACTGCAATCCCGTTCCCTTTTCCCGAATGTGACCTACCGAATTAGACTTCTTACCTTTATTTGTGACATTTTTACCTATTGTGTCTGTTTGTTTTGTTCACGCATCATTATCAATATTATTAAATTTGATGAGAGGTTTAGCGCTATAAAACCAGGTTCAATCCACCATTTTCTATTTGAAAATGCCTGTACCAAGTCAGGAATATGACAGTTGTTGTCCATTCGTTTGATGTGTTTTGCCATTTGATTTTGCCATGTGATTAGGAACTGTCCGATTGAATTTTCCTCGGAGTTCAGTATATTTGTGATTTTACTTTTTGGTACAAAAACAGGCAAACTATGTCAATATGGAAGATAAAAATGATGACTTTATCATCATACAATAATTCGACATTTGAACCTCATTATAAAATTGCAATATCTCAGCCAGCTAAATTTACAAAGTAATGTCCATTTCTGCATTTTCGTTTAAATATAAAATAAATCAGTGTTTAAGCGAAGTTACTTTTAAAAGACTTTTATACAAAACTGCTGATACATACGGAAGCAAAAACAACAACATGTTTAACCCCGCCACATGCTATATGTGCCTGTCCAAAGTCAGAAGCCTGTACTCGAGTGGTTGTTGTATATTGTTGTTTTTCGTGTTTGATTTTTGCTAATAGTTTTGTAGCTTGTTCTTAAGTTGTGCCGTTGCACCAATGTACCAAGTTAGATGAAGGGTTTGCGCTTTCAGACATGTTTCACCCCACCACAATCTGTATGTGCCTGCCCCGAATCAGGAGCCTCTAGTTCAGTGGTTTACGTTGGTTCATGTCTGTCATATGTGTTTTTCGTAAATTGTTTAGTTATATATTAGGCGGTGAAATTTCTCAATTTATTTGTTACACATTTTTTCATGTCGAGGCCTTCTATAGGCAACTATACAGTATGTCTTTTCTCTTTTCTCTTTTCTCATTGTTGTACGGTTACCTTTAATCGCTTCATTCACTTCATTTTGACTTTGATTGATAGTTGTCTTAATGGCATCATACCACATTTTCTTGTTTTTATATAGAAATATATAGAGGTGTTTTTTGTTTAATTTTCAGGAGCAGCAGTGACTGGACGGACAACTGGAACATTTTACTATACAGATCTCTGCAATTGGTTTCAAAATTGGCAGGGAGTTGGCAGTCATACACAAACAGCACTAGAAACGGGAACTTATGCTCAATGTTAATCGTATTAAAGCACATTACATATTACAACAGCTACTCATTATAAAGATTTTTGTCTTTGTTTTCATGTTTTTATAAAATTTGAAAAGGTATGACAGGCCACTCCAGTTATTTGTTTTTCTACTCAGTCGGGTTTGAATACGAATAAAGAAAATGTTGCATTAACACCAGCCTAACAATGAATAAAAACGGAATAATGAAATGAGCTATTGACAGTCTTTTGAGATTGAGGATGTTAACAAATAGTTAATTCTTGAATTGAAATGCACTTTTTTTTAAAATGAAAGAAATGAGTCATTCAATCAATTATTATCATTTTTTTTCAATTTTACAAATGAGACGCATGTAAATCCTTATTGTAAACCAAAACCGAGTGCCCCAACAGTGAAAGCGTCTCATGATACATGTCATAAGCATCCGTCACCAGCCATCGCGAGTTGAGGCATAGACACATAGTTTAAGTCAACCAATTAACGGTGGTTAGTGAAAAACGTCGTACTAGTTCTTTTTAGGACATCATCATTTTACGGGAACATGAAATTACAGAACCTTACACGATATTTTTGTTTTAACTTTGAGAATGCTTTGTATGATTTTTGCTTCAAAATATTACAGAAACCAGTAAGAGTTTACAAATTGTACAACTATGTAACTGATCAAAAGGTCCATTACTTTGGTGATAGCATCTAGTAAATAGTAATGATTAGCAGCATCGTCACATATGACCTGGTCACGTGACAGTTATTACTGCAAAACGCCATCTTCCAAAACACATGACTGAATAAAGTTAGCAATCAAAAATAACAAATCGAAGAAGAATTGCCTACAATATGACCACTATAACAGCCTCACGAGGAAACACACACGCAGTTCAATATTGAGAACAACGAACCCCCATACAAAACCGAGGACGGGTGTTGTAGGAAAATGTAAGCAGTTTGTTACACTTAGAAACTGATTTGATCAACTTCAAAAATAGTTGTAGACATGAAAAACAACATTTTTGAAATACAAAAACTACAAGAATTTCATACTCATTTAAACGTTCTACCAGATATCGTATCTCCAATTATTCTAGACAATCTAATGAGGATTCCTTTTTTATTCCCGAAAAAGTAACTGAATGTTACACAGCAATGGACATGAGTCCATGCTTAGCAAGATGTATCTCGTCTGTCACTATTTCACATGGTTTGTTTTCAAATTGACATTCCCATTAGAACCTTAACGGTTTAAGGTGAGGTTGCCATTCTGGAAATTTTGTGCATATTACTGGTCAATGGAGATAAGTCTTTAAAGTGAATCACGAATCCTAATAAGAAAGGAGTTTTCTTTTCTGATAAGTCTGCAGTTATTTTGTTATTAAAGCAGTCTCTATTTGAGAGATTATCTTTTTTTGCTATTCTATTAATAGCAGTCTCTATTTGAGAGATTATTTTATGTTGTTATTCTATTTGAGAATAACTTGTATTATCAATCTCTATTTGAGGGATGATTATTACTGTTTTTTAACAAACACAAGACAAAATAATCCTTTACTTCCTATGTTAAAATAGATCCTGCACTGTGTGATAGATAAGTAAAGGCAACAGTAGTATACCGCTGTTCGAAATTCATAAATCGATTGAGAAAAAAACAAATCCGGGTAACAAACTAAAACTGAGGGAAACACATCAAATATAAGAGGAGAACTACGACACAACAGAAACACAACATTAAAATGTATAGTTTTTCAAATCTATATTTCAGTTTTTCGTCCCTTAGTATCTCTATGGAGATTGTCTTGTTAATAACAACACATAGAAAATGGAATTAATCACGAGAGTTATAAGAAGATATACTGGATTGGTCCTGGACCCGATTGATTTTAATATATTATTTGGAGCCTCGCTTCATTCCGTGGTCTAACATGAGCATTGTCTTGGTATTAACAAGACAATCTCCATATATGCTTATTATAACCCTTTGTCGAATTGCTTATCAAAACCATGGTAAGGCACAATAAACTGAAATAAAAATTTGAAAAACTATATAGAACAACTCTTGACCAGAGGAAGGGACATTGAAACTACATTAAACAATTAAGAAAAGTAAAATGGAGTATCAATAACTTACAATGAAGGAACAAATAATTATGTCCGAAATAAATGTGCCAAATGAAAAGAATACAGGAAGTACTAAACAGGACATGTCAATTAAAGTCAAATGACAAGAAATATTAGTTGCATCAACAGAATGTTATAACGTTCTTGACTTATACATACAAGTAACTGGTTCAAATTTGATTCTCATGGGGATTCGACCACCTGTATATACGAATATTACAATAATAACATGTGCAACAGCTGACAAATAATAGTTTTTTTTCTAAATGAAAAATACTAATTGACTATAACTATCGAACTATAATTCTTTAACTGACCAGTAAATAATACTATCATTTTAATAGAGATACGAGATATATATATATATAATGTATGTAAAGGATTTTCTATTTATTTTCATTAGTAATATCGATCCAGAAGAAGAAAATAATACATTATTATGTGTATCTGTTACGGGCACTCCTGAACTATTCTAAGATATAGTTTAGGTAAGGAGAGGTCAAAAATACACGTGCATGTATCTATGACGTATATAGAATCAACCAATCAGCATACAAGATCTTGTAATCACGTGGAAGCAATAAGATAGAAATATTTGACTGATAAAATACACATACTTATCTATCACACAGTGCAGGATCTATTTTAACGCTATAACATAGGAAATAAAGGACTGTTTTGTCTTGTGTTTGTTAAAAAAACAGTAATAATCATCTCTCAAATAGAGATTGATAATACAAGATATTCTCAAATAGAATAACAAAATATAATAATCTCTTAAAAAAGACTGCTATTAAATAGAATGGCAAAAATAAAGTACTCTCTCAAATAGAGACTGCTTAATAACTAAATTGTTCTCGAATAGAATAACAAAAAAAGATTTTAATCTCTCAAATAGAGTATTAAAAGCAATGAGCAGACGTTTTACATACAAAAGACATACAAATCTAAAAGAGTATTTAACGAATTCAAAGGGGAAATATTATATAAACAGACGAAATCAAACAAACGATAAAAATGTAACGCACAATAAACCAATTGAAGAGCTTGAATAAAAAGAGGAAAAAATACCAAAAAAAAAAACAGAAAGAAGAAAAAAGATAAAAAACGATTGTATAAGCAGGTGTCGTATCCCCATAAGAGAAATTAAATTGGAACTATTCTACATATTACAAGAAAGGAAACATAAAGGCTAGGGATACCTGATGAGGATAGGCCTAGGTCTACATGACCATAACCGAAACACCTTTTTTAGTATAAGAAACCCAGACCTGATCTGGATTTCTGTTCTAAAAATACACACACAATAATTATACTACAAACATGCAAGTGTGAATTTCTAGAAAAATATGAAAATAAATGCAGAAGAATATATTCCATAACCAGAAATATTTATCATACACTGAGTTTACCAGCTCTAAATTACTCTAAACGTATTCACATAGAAAATGGAATTAATCACGAAGGATTATAATAAGATATACTGGATTGGTCGTGGACCCGATTGATTTTAATATAAAAGACTGAAAAAAAAATTTACAAGTCATTTTCAGGCTTTCAGTTAAATTTTAGACTGATCCACTGCGGTTAATTCAGTACTGCTCAGACAATTCGATTGCAGTCAAGTAAGATGTGTTCAGTTAATGTTGAGACTCGTCAATAGTGATCAAGGTAAAGAACTTCTTTTTGTGGAATCTCACATTTTACTGTTTTCAGAGTTAAGTCTATCAGAAACCAACTCGGGATGTTTAATATGTTCCTCAAAGTTCCTACTGAAAGCCATTTGGAAATTAAGACCATGTAACACATCTGTAAGCATATGCCGAAATGAATCATGTGCTGAATATATTCCAATCGGAAGTCGCTTCCACTGATATTTGCAAAAGCAGATTTATGAGCAGTAGAAAAGTCAAGCACTGGCAATAGCACGAAACAGCTGCAGCGTACTAATCACTTGAGCTATGCTTTTGTCAATAGCCTCACGACCAGCCAAAATAAAAAGAAAGTGGATAAGATCTAGTTCAGTGAGCAAAAATTGCAACAAAACCGAAGCTGTTATGTTTTCTTATGTCACATGACTATTGCTGCCTCCCATTCACTTTTTGATTTCTGAATAATGTCATATGTTAGTACCTACTGAATTAGACTTATAACCGTCTGTTGGTCTTTTTCTTTTTTAGCCATGGCCTCGTCAGTTTATTTTCGACTGATGAGTTTGAATGTTCCTTTGGTATCTTTTGTCTCTTTCTTTGGTTACTCCTTAATTTGAACAGAATCGACTGCAGACTTATCAGAAAAGAAAACTCCTTTCTTATTAGGATTCGTGATTCACTTTAAAGACTTATCTCCATTGACCAGTAATATGCACAAAAGTTCCAGAATGGCAACCTCACCTTAAACCGTTAAGGTTCTAATGGGAATGTCAATTTGAAAACAAACCATGTGAAATAGTGACAGACGAGATACATCTTGCAAAGCATGGACTCATGTCCATTGCTGTGTAACATTCAGTTACTTTTTCGGGAATAAAAAAGGAATCCTCATTAGATTGTCTAGAATAATTGGAGATACGATATCTGGTAGAACGTATAAATGAGTATGAAATTCTTGTAGTTTTTGTATTTCAAAAATGTTGTTTTTCATGTCTACAACTATTTTTGAAGTTGATCAAATCAGTTTCTAAGTGTAACAAACTGCTTACATTTTCCTACAACACCCGTCCTCGGTTTTGTATGGGGGTTCGTTGTTCTCAATATTGAACTGCGTGTGTGTTTCCTCGTGAGGCTGTTATAGTGGTCATATTGTAGGCAATTCTTCTTCGATTTGTTATTTTTGATTGCTAACTTTATTCAGTCATGTGTTTTGGAAGATGGCGTTTTGCAGTAATAACTGTCACGTGACCAGGTCATATGTGACGATGCTG